GGGTCCGGGACACGACCCGCGGTCGACTACGTGGGAGTCCAGCGACATAGCCATTACGCTAACTGCTGGTTCCCACCAATGTGATGCTTCTTATAGATGAGCAAAGAAAGCAGTTACCAGAGATGAAATTTACACCTGGTACAGTACTGTGAACACTACTGACATGATAACAAAGAATTCAGAAGGACATAAATTTAATTGATAAAGTAGCAACAGGTTTTTGAAGACAGTTTACTATCAAACAGCATCACATACTATACCCATATCTTTTGTAAAAGGAAGAGTCAATCAGTACAGCAAACTCCACTGTCTTATTTTAAGAAATTGCCACACTCACCACAACCTTTAGCAACCATCATCCTCACCAGCAGCTGTCAACATTAAGACAAGACCCATGGATTGAAAAACTGGCACACATACTCTGTGGAATACTGTTCAGCCATAAAAACAACAACAACAACAAAATCCTGGCTTTTGACAGAAAGTGGAAGATTATGGAAGATGTACTGCTGAGTGAAGCAAGCCAGGCTATGAAGGAGAGACATTAACGTCCCCACTTAATATATACTGAGTGTCCACACTCTATGACTAAAACTGATTGACTAAAGGATATAGAAACATGGTAAATGGATGTGAATACCAGATACAGTGTGTGTAAAAGAGCAGGGTCTGAGGAAGGACATTTAGAAGAAAAATAGGGAGGCAAAGCATTAATGGGACAAAGAAATGTGGTATTATCTGTTGAAGATAGTTTATACTTTTATCAACTGAACTAGGAAGAAATGTTCACATGTTGAAATATTCACTTTATGGGACCAGCAGTTAGTGTAATGGCTATGTCACTGGTCTCCCATGTAGTCAAATGCGGTTCGAGTCCCAGACTGGTGGCTTCAACTCACACCAGGCGCGTGTGGGTGTGTGCCCAAGATCCCAAGAGGAGAATGGAGGAGTAGGGATTGCAGCATGGCCATCCCCCCTAGGGGGTGATTTCTCGCTTTCTGTCTCTCTGTCTTCCTGGTGAAAAGAAAGATCCTTCACGGGGACAGGACAGCAGGTGGCATGATAGTTAAGGGCGCTGGACTCCCCAGGGCCGGCAGATGGCGTGGTAGTTCGGGGAGCTGGACTGCCACATGGCCAACCGTGGTTCAAGTCCCAGACCTGGTAGCGTGCTTTCTTTCTCTCTCGTTGTCCCTTTCTGCTCAAATTAAACTAAATAAATAAGTAAATAAAGTTAAGAAAAGCAATTCTTTAAAAAAAAGAAAGAAAGGCACTGGACTCCTACATGGCTGACAGTGGTTCAAGTCTCAGACCTGGTGGTTTGCTTTCTCACTTTCTCTCTCTTGCTCTGTTCCCTTCTGGTCAAATTAAAACAAACAAATAAATGAATTTTAAAAATTAAAGAAAAGGACCCTTCACCAGTAAAAAGATTACAACTTGCAGGAGGTTCAAATGATGGTTAGCATTCCTTACCAATATTTTTAGATTGAGATATGTACACTGTTTTTTCAGATGTGATGCCATTACATACTTAAGAGACTACAGTTTAGTATAAACATAACTGTAAACAAGAAAATTTGCCAGGAGGTACATGCACTCACCAGAAAGACACAGAGAGAAATCACCCCCTGCAATGGGGTGTGGCATGCTGCAATTCCTTCTCCATTTCTCCATCCTGTTGGGATCTTGGGCATGCAACATACCTGGTGTGAATCCCACCAGGGCCAGGATTCAAACCACACAGTCAGTCAGCCATATGGGATTCAGCTTTCTTAACTATTAGGCCATGGAGCTAGTCCTAATTATCTTTTAGATGCACTGGGAAACAAAAAGTGTGTGACTTGCTTTATCGCATTATTTGCTTTATTGTGGTGGGCTGGAACCAAACCCACAATATCTCTGAGGTATGGCTATATTTCAGATGAAGAACAGAGCAGGGAAGCAGGACAGGAAGCCCACAACGCAGGGTGCTACAGTAAACAGTCAGGAGGGGATTCATTAAAGAGTCATTCTTCTAGTAAAGGCCTAAAAAAAGTGAGGAGCAAGCTCCATGGCTATCTGGGGGAGATGCAATCAGGCAAAGAGAACAATAAAGACCTTGACACTGGATCATGCCCAGCAAGTTCAAAGAACAGAAAGAAAGAGGACGGGGCTGGAGAAGGGGAGGGAAGCAGGAGCTGCCAGCAGAGGCAAGCCTTCAGTACCCAGCTATGACCATGACTGTGTCGTTGCCCGTTAAAAGTTAAGCAGAAAGTGTCTGTTGTTGAAGGAAGCCCCGTGGCTTAACTATAGAGTGCCTGGCACGAAGCAGGCACTCAAATATGTATTTCTTGAGTGATTATACGCAGAATGGAGAAAGGCGGTAGCACCATCATTCACAGGGCTTTGGGGAGATTAAACGAGATCACACAAAATGCACTCAGCACGGTGGCTACCAGGGTTTGGTCAACCAGAGGGGCGGGGGTTGTTATGAACGTGCACATACGTAAACTTTCTTCAAGCTGCAACTTAAGAATTATATATGCCGGGACCAGCAGGTGGCGTGGTGGTTAAGGCGCTGGACACTCCCACATGGTCGACTGGGGTTCAAGTCCTGGACCTGGTGGCTTGCTTTCTCACTTCCTCTCTCCCTCCCTCTCACCCTCTCTCTCTCTCTCTAGTCAAATTTTAAAAATCAATGAATGAATAAATAAATAATAAAATAGTTATTAAAAAAAATTACATATGCCATATCAGTGTTTCTCAAACCTGACTGTACTTTGGAAACACCTAGAGGGAACCAGTAGTTAGCGTAATGGCTATGTCGCTGGACTCCCACGTAGTTGACCGCAGTTTGTGTCCCGGACCTGGTGGCATAAAACTCACGCCGGGCCCGTGTGCGTGCGTGCCCAAGATCCTAAGAGGAGAATGGAGGAGAAGGGATTGCGGCGTGACCATCCCCACGGGGGGTGATTTCTCGCTTTCTGTCTCTACGTCTCTCTCTTGTCTGTCTGGCGAGCGCATGCGCCCTAGCGAAAACCTCTCCATAAATAAATAAATAAATAAATAAATAAACACCTAGAGAGTTTATTATAAGTGCAGACTCATCTCCAAAGATGCGGCTTCAGAAGGTCTGGGGAGGAACCCGAGAATCTACATTTTAGCTGCCTGAGGACCAGCAGATGGCATAATGGTTATGACGCTGGAGTCCAGCGATTCGGCAGCTTAAAACTCACATCACGCGTGTGCGAGCACATGTCCCAGATACCGAAAGAAGCAAGGAGAAAGGACTGCAATTTGGCCATCCTCCCTAGGAGGTGATTTCTTGCTCTCTCTTTCTGGTGATTGCATATGCCCTACAGTAAACTTAAATAAATAATAGGGACCAGCAGATGGTATAATAGTTATATCACTGAACTCCCACATAGTTGACCATGGTTCAAGTCCCAGACCTAGTAGCTTAAAACTCACTCCAGGCGCGTGTGCACATGTGCCCAAAATCCCAAGAAGAGAATGGAGGAAAAGGGATTATGGTGTGGCCACCTCCCCAGAGAGGTGATTTCTCACTTTCTTGTCTCTCTGGCTCTGTCTCTCTGGTGGGTGCACGTGCCCTATATCAAAAATCTCTCTTTAAAAATGAATGAATAGGGACCAGCAGTTAGCGTAATGGTTATGTCACTGGACTCCCACATAGTCGACCATGGTTCGCATCCCGGACCCGGTGGCTTAAAACTCATGCCAGGCGCGTGTGCGTGAGTGCCCAAGATCCCGAGAGGAGAATGGAGGAGAAGAGATTGCGGCGTGACCATCCCCTCCGGGGGGTGATTTCTCGCTTTCTGTCTCTCTGTCTCTGTCTCTGTCTGGCGAGCGCATGTGCCCTATAGCAAAAACCTCTAAAAAAAAAAAAAAAAAAAAGAAGAAAAATGAATGAATGAATTAATGTTAAAGGGGGAAGGAGGTTAGGATCTGAAGTGAGAGGTTCGGGTTCCTAAAGGTAGTGAAATAGAGCCAAGACAGGGCCTTCCTACCTGGGCCAGAGGGATGACCCTCTCCATGCGAAGCATGCGGTCCCTGAGGGCCTGCAGCTCACGGTCCTTGCTGCTGTTCTGCAGCTTCACCTCCTGCAGAATTCCCGTCAGCTTGTCGATGTGAGCCCGGAGGTCCTCCACCTCTGCCCCACGGGCTCCCTTCTCACCGCCACCACTGCCACCTCCACCTCCTTCCTCCTCGCCCACCGTGTCCCAGACATCACGGGCCACAGCCCTCCAGGCGTCTCCAGGCCCCTCGGGCTTGCCATAGGTGCGACAGAGCTCCCGCATCTTGAGGGCAGCCAGGGCCTCAATCTCTGCCCGCCCATGGCGGAAGTCAGCCAGGGCCACCTCGTAGCAGATCTCCTTTACTGCCTGCATCTTCAGGTCAGCCATGGTGGCCCAGCGAGGGTCTTTGCCCTGAAGCCTCCGCCGCTGGGGAATCTGATAAACCCTGCGAGGGGCCCTGCGCTTGCCGCTGCTGGGCAGGCCACAGCGCTTGACGATGGTCTGGACCGTGGTAGGGGGAAGCTGCTCCCGCAAGGAGGAGATCAGCCGCCAGCTTTCTTCACAGGAGCGCTTATCGGAGTCGTCTCCACTATCGGAATCTGCATACTGGGGCCAAAGAGAGAGAAGACAGAGAAGACTAAGGGCCCATGTGTCCCAGTGGCATGAGAAATACTCCCATCAGTGCCCCGGGCAGGGCTTGAGTCATGCCCACCCCTCCCTCACTGTGCACCTTTGGGCGGACTGTGGAACCTCTCCTACCTAGGGGAGGTAACGGTGGTATCATGGTATACATTTCCAGGGTTAATATATGCCAAGTAGGGGTTGGACACTGGGCAGTGGTAACACAATGCTCTGCAAAGCTGACCCACATGGGAAGGTCCCAGGTTCTCATCAGGAGACCTCCCTGAGTATGCTGGGCGTGCCTGTGATCTGGTCTGGCTAAAGCAGTGGCGGAAGGCAGTGTCGGCACCCTGCTGGAGGTGCAGTCTCTGTCTCTTCCCTCGGCCTCTTTCGCTCATGGAAAAAAGAAATAAACTCATAAACATAGAAATATATATACACATAAGCACCAAGTATCAGGCCAGCCAGTGGCACAGTGGTTAAGAAAGCTGGATCCCACATAGCTGACTATGAGGTTCAAGTCCCAGAGCTGGCAGCTTAAAAAACATGCCAGGCGGGACCAGCAGGTGGCGTGGTGATTAAGGTGCTGGAATTCCCACATGGCCAACCACGGTTCGAGTCCTGGACCTGGTGTCTTTCTCTCTCTTCCTCTCTCTCTCTACGTCTTTCTCTGGCAAAACTCATGTGAAAATAATAATAATAAATAAATAAAATAATTCTTAAAAAAAAAAAATGCCAGGCACATCATGTACATATGTGTCAAGAATCCTGAGAGAATGGAGAAGGGATTGTACATGGCCACCCTCCTTTCCCTCCTCCCCACCCTCTCTGGCAAGTACAAGCACCCTATAGCACAAATTAAATGTGTGTATATATGTGTGTGAGTGTTGTGGGTATATACACACACGCACATACAAATGCCAAATATTTAGAATAGTGGCTGGTACACCAATTGATCATTAAGTATTAGCTGTAGCTAATCAAGTCTTAAATGCTCGGGATAAAGTCCAAGACTTGAAAGTCCACTTAGGGTCTGGGTAGTGGCGCGACCAGCCCCACATGGAGGTACTGGGCTCCATGTCCTGGGGCACACTGGGTGCAGGTGGGTGCCTGAGATCCAGGCCAGCTGGGACTGGGTAACCAGAGTGTGCGGGCCCTGCTAGAGGTGCCGTCTCCCAGACTCTCTAACAGAGGAGGTAAATGAATGAAGTTTTTTTAATTGCCCGAGGGTGTATATACTTGCAAGAAAGAGACAAAGGAAGAGGGAGAAAGCACCCCACAACAGGACATGGTCACACTGCACTCTCTTCTCCATTTCTCCAACTTGTTGGGATTTGGGACATACACGCACAAGTGCCTGGTGTGTTTTTCAAGTCACCGGGACTGGGAGTCAAACTCCAGTCAGCCATGTGGAATCCAGCTCCTTTAGCCACAAGGCTGGCCGGGAATAAACTTTGTAAAAATTTGAAAATAAAAGTTGACTGAAAGAACAATCTGGGGGACCAGCAGTTAGCATAATGGCTACATCGCTGGACTCCCATGTAGTTGACTGCGGTTTGAGTTCTGGACCCGGTGGCTTTAATTCACACCAAGCACGTGTGCATGCGTGCCCAGGATCCTGAGAGGAGAACAGAGAAGGAATTGCAGTGTGGCCATTCCCCCTGGGGGAGGGGTGATTTCTCACTTTCTGTCTCTCTCTCTTTCTGGTGAGTGTACGCGCCCTATAGCAAAAACCTCTCCAAAAAACAAAGAGAAAGAGAAAGAACAATCTGGTTGGTTGGTCTGATTTCAACCAGCCTGCACTCCCCTCTTCAGAGTGGACTTTGCTTCGCTTAGCCGAATAAAGTTTCTATACTATCCGTTCGAAAAACAGTCTTTTTTTTTTTTTTTTTTGAGAGGTTTTTGCTATAGGGCGCGTGCGCTCGCCAGACAGAGAGAGACAGAAAGCGAGAAATCATCCCCCAGAGGGGATGGCCACACCGCAATCCCTTCTCCATTCTCCTCTCGGGATCTTGGGCATGCACGCACACGTGCCCGGAGTGAGTTTAAGCCACTGGGTCCAGGACTCGAACTGCGGTCGACTACGTGGGAGTCCAGCGACATAGCCATTATGCTAACTGCTGGTCCCTGAAAAACAATCTTAAGTAACAGCAAGGTGGTCCCTGAATTGCTGCAAATCAGGGAGACGTGAGACTGACTGACTGGGGCCTGGGGTGCACTAGCTGACTGGGAGGAGCTTTAGTTCCCTGCATGTACCAGTGTCCTCCCTTGGCCCCATTTCTCTCCAAGCTCTTTCCTCCTAAACACCACCCCACCTCCCATCCCACCCCCATTTCCCACTCTGGCTCCGAGGGTGTGCACTGGAAGTGCAGTCAGGCTGAGATGATGCCCACCCGCCATGCCCAGGCCTGCCCCTCACCAATCGCTGCTGTTCCAACAGAAGATCAGCCTCTTCCTTCTCTTTCCGGTACTGATTCTCTAGATCCTGCAGCCTGGGGTTGGGCAAGGAGGGAAGGAAGAGCTATTTGGGGCTCCAGGGCCTCCTGGGCCAGGGGCTGAGTGGCTGACTGGGGCCCAGGGCAGATGAAACGACCTGGAGGTCCTGGGACGCATGGGTACCCCTCAGCCCCCCGCACCTCTTCTCCATCTCCAGCTTGATGTCAATCCCCTGCTGCTCCAGCAGCTCCTTCTGGGCGAAGTTCCAATCCACAGGCTCGGATGGTGGTCCTGGGGGTGGGGGGACCCCTCGTTCCCGTTCCAGTCGTGCCTGCTCCGGGTGATTGAAGCGGAAAACGTGGTTCTTTCCCATCACGATCCTATTCCCTGGAGATAGGAGGAGGGAAGAGTAGACTCACTCCCACACAGCAGAAACCCATCCCACACTTGAGGCATAGGGGACCCTGCCTCCGAATCCCAGCGACCCTGACACCCTCTGTCCCCTTACCCCCAGGCCACGGGCAGCCATAGCCGATGCTTCCCTGGTTGGTTCAGGAACCACCCACCCCTGCCAGCCAAAGGGAACTGGAGAGCTTGGCATCCTCTTCCTGTTCCCCTGGGGTGGCAAGAGAGATCAAGGCCTAACTCCTCTATCTTCAGTTCCCAGCTCCTTCTTCCTGCTACTTCTTTCCTTTCCTTTTTAAGACGGGATCACACTATGCCTCCATCCTCCTGCCTCAGCCACCAGAGCAGGTGCACACCATCGTGATCGCCTCTTAGGGTGAGCTGGAAAGTGAACCTGGGCTCCCCACACAGCCTCAGCCTGCCAGGCAGCGGTCAGGCTACGGCGATGCTCCCCGGCCACACGGTGTGGTGTCCACCAGCACACACGACGGTGGCTGGGTCTGTGCTGGTTCTAATTCAGGGTCCTACTCTGGGATATACCCAGGAAGCCGTGTCCCAAGACTTCCCACATACACCCACGTCCCAGGACAATCACTCTACAGTGCGACTTCTACCTGACTTCAGCACCAGTGGCTCTGTCACAAGCTTCCCATTGACGTATGTCTCAGCTCCTTCGCAAGGCTCCAACGTGACCACCACTGAGGGAGGGACAGGGAGGAACATTAGATCCTGGGAGATGGTGGATCATGGTCACAGATCCCCACCTAGCTTTCTCCCAAAACCCACACATGCACCACTGGTCCCACCCCCAGTACCTGTGGGGGTGCCATGGACCCTCTGGTATAGGCAGCACAGGGAAGGAAGAGCAGAAGGAGGGTTAGAGCCCCAGCCACAATTCCCAGAAGCCTCTGCAATGGCTCCTCACTCACCGCACCTTTCCCCACAGTAACTTAGAAAACGAGTACATCTCAGAGGGCTTCACGACTCATACTGAGCTATCCCAGACATCCATTCCTTTCTTTCCCACTGGCATTATCCCTGGCAGGCCTGGATTCTTCCAGCAGGTTCTCAGTCCAACTGTGTCTGATGCATCTTGCAAACTGCCACCTGACTAATCTCAAGCCACAGACAGCATATGACAAGATAAAGTCAACCCAACCCAAACATCCATTGCTCCTTAGTATGAATCACTGGGCCCACTGCTTGGTGGGGATGCATGACACACACGCCTCCTGCCTTGAGGAGCAAGCACTCTGTTGTCACGGAGGGCCCACTGTATCCCAAAGACTCAAGCTCTACAACTTGCCCGGGATGTTGAGCAAGTCATCTAACTTCTCTGACCTTTTATTTTTCCTTTTATTTTTTTTTAAGATATTTTTTTGCTATAGGGAATGTGCACTCGCCAGAAACACAGAAAGAAAGCAGGAAATCACTCCCAGGGGGAATGGCCACACTGCAATCCCTTCTTTTCCATTCCCCTCTCAGGATTGTGGGCATGCATGCACACACACCTGATGTGAGTTATAAGCTGCCGAGCCCAGGACTTGAACCACAGTTGACTACAAGGGAGTCCAACAATATAACCATTATGCCATCTGCTGGTCCCAACATAGTCTTTCTTTCTTTCTTTTTTTCCCAACATAATCTTTCTTTAAAGAGTGGTCGAGGAGCCGACAAATGGCATAGCAGTTACGTAACTGAACTCCCACACAGCCGACCACAGTTCAAGTCCAGATCTAACGGCTTGAAGGTGCACGTGTGTGCATGTGTGTGCCCAAGATCCCAGGAGGAGAATGGAGGAGAAGAGATTGTGGAGTAACCATCCTCCCTAGAGAGTGATTTCTCACTTTCCCTCTTAGATCTCTGTCTTTCTCCCCTGCTAGTGCACAACGTCCGAAGGCAAAAAAAAAAAAAAAAAAACTTAAAAAAAAAAAGTTAAAAAAACAAAAACAAAAACAAAACACCACGCCAGGTGTGTGTGCATGCATGAAGGTTAAAAGACTCAAATAAGTAAATTATAAAATAATAGGCAATCATGAGTTTTTACTATCATTTCTGCTGAAACCGATCGAGAGACAGAGAAACCAGAATGGACTGAAACTGCCAGGCGGAGACAAGGACTAGGGATGCCGTAACAGGACGAAGAGAAGGCTGGAAATAACTGCGTGAGTGCTAACTTCTGAATGAGCACCTGAAGGGAGATTCCAATTCTAACAGGCGGAAGTGAGAGAGAAAAAAGATGATGGGCAGAGAGATGGCTAAAGGTGCCACCATGTGTCCTGGAACAGGAAGGGAAAAAGTGGCAGGACTGGGGACGAATGACTCCAGTGGGCACCAGCCACTTCATCTTCACTTCCTTATTTCCCACCATGCCCCCAAATTCATTCACTGACTCCACAAATCTACTGCACCTCTACTAACACACCAGGCACTATTTTATTAGATCTGAGAAGTACAGTGGAGAGAAAACCAAAATTCCTGTAGTCACAGAGCTTACCTTTGGCTGGTAAAACAGATAATAAACAAGATAACCTAAAGTTATTGGACCCTAGTCATTTCCTTAAAGGAGGTAACGTAAAATTTTCTCTAAAAGAGGGGACAGGTGTCGTGGAGGGAAAATGGGGCCAGTTGAGAAGAGATGACTGCTCCAGCCTGGCCAGGAAAGTCTCTTCCTTGTCCTTGAACCCATGACAACCTGGCAGCCCAGGGCAGACCTCAGCACAGTTCTGCCATTTCTTGTCATTCTGTGTGATGGTCTTGGGCAAATTTCCTAACCCCTGAGAGACCCAGGGTAGATGGTTAGTAAACACTATTCTTCTACAACCAGACCTCCTTCACACTGCCTGTCCCCTCTGCCTATCTCTAATTGAGTCTTAGGTCTGCTATAAGAACAAAGGTCCAGGGGGCCAGCAGGTGGCATGGTGGTTAAAGGCACTGGACTCCCACATGGCTAACTGCAGTTCGCGTCCCAGACCTGGCAGCTTCCTTTCTCACTTTCTCTCTTCCTCTCTGGTCAAATTAAAAGAAAGAAAGAAGGAAGGAAGGAAGGAAAGAAAGAAAGTTAAATAAAAAATAATTATTTAACAAAAAAAGAACAGATGGGGGCCAGCGGTAGCATGGTGGTGGTGAAGGTTGCTGACATTACCACATGGTTGAACCAATGGTTTGAGTACTGGACCTAGTGACTTGCTTTCTCACTTTCCCTCTCTCTGTGTGTGTCTCTCTCTGGTCAAATTAAAATAAATGAATGAATAGATAAAATTAAAAAAAAAAAAACAAAAAAAAAACAGAGGTCAAGAGCCAGCAGATGGCATGGAAGTTAAGGCAGCTGAATCCCCACAAATGGCTGTGTGATTTAAGTCCTAGATCCAGCAGGTTGAAAAACACGCTAGCGGGATCAGCAGGTGGCATCGTGGTTAGGGCACTGGACACTCCCATATGGCCAACCACGGTTTGAGTCCTGGACCTGGCAGCTTGCTTTCCATCTCTTTCTCTTTCTCTCTCTCTGCGTCACTCTCTGGTCAAATTTAAATAAATAAATAAATTTTAAAAGATTAAAATTACCAAAAAAAAAAAAAAAAAGAAAAGAAAGAAAAAGAAAAACACACTAGTATGTGTGCGTGCATGTCCAAAACCCTGAAAGGAAAATGGAGATGGGATTGCAGTGTGGCCATCTCTGCTGCGGGATGATTTCTCACTCTCTCTCCCACCCCCAGATGGCCCTGTGTGTTTCTGGCAAGCGTTACACACCCTATAGCAAAAAAAGACAAAAGAACAGAGCTCCAGGTGCACTAAACCTTTACAGCTCCATCCTTTGGAACATTGCTGCCTCTACTGTGACTGGTTTAACAATCTTGTGCATGTCCGCCATCTCCCCAAACACTGTGAGTGCCCTGACGGTGGGCTTGCTCTGTGGGCCTACTAGGGCTTTGATATCTTCCCCAGGTCATGGCTTGAGGTGACCACAGAAGAGGAACTTGGCAATAACTCACTGAGCAGAACCAATTCAGCAGCTTTCAGCCTGAAATGCCGGAAACATTTGCTGCCGCTGGGTACTTGAAGCACCCAGAACAACTGCCTTTAATCTGCTGACCCTGAACCACATTGAAACCCAAAAGGCATGTCTTAAACCTGACTGCGAGTCACACAACAGTGTCTTTTCTTACTTTTAAAGATATGCTGACCAAGCATGCCCCAAAGCCCTGCCCCTCAAAAGCATCAGGCTAGGTACTCATAGGCACAGAGCACGGGATCTAAGTTGATGGCATACACACTGTCCTTCCCTGCCCAACTCCTCCCACAGAGCTCAAGGTCATCAGGAGTATACCCAAATTATTATTTTTTTTTTGAAGAGGTTTTTGCTATAGGGCGTGTGCGCTCGCCAGAAAGACAGAGAGAGACAGAGAGACAGAAAGCGAGAAATCACCCCCCCGGGGGGGATGGCCACGCCGCAATCCCTTCTCCTCCATTCTCCTCTCGGGATCTTGGGCACTCATGCACACGCGCCCGGCGTGAGTTTAAGCCACTGGGTCCGGGACTTGAACCGCAGTCGACTACGTGGGAGCCCAGAGACATAGCCATCACGCTAACTGCTGGTCCCTGATTTTTTTTTTAAAGGACTAAACAAAGACCTACCCTGTGGTCTAGTGATTAAGAGAGCAGGATCACACATGGCCAACTGCATAGTTTGAATCTCAACCCTGGAGGCTTGAAGAACATGCTGAGTGTGTGTGAGTGCATGCCCAATATCCAGGCAGGACGGAGAAGTGAAAGAGCAGAGGTTGGGGCGTGACTACACCTCATCGGGGGATACTTTCTCCCTCTCTGTCTCTGGCAAGTGCATGTGCCCTTTGGTAAATTAAACAACAAAACAGAACAGAACAGAACTAGTAACCTCAAAAATACTCCCTGAATGGTACAAATGTTGCTGATATGTCAGAGCAGCTACTACCTTCACCCTTAGGATTTGTGAGTTCTAAAAGCTTTTTCTCTATGGTCATGTGAGGGTTGAAGTCTCTGAAAGTTGTTTTTTTTTTTTTAAAGAAAGATTTTTGCTATAGGGCACGTGCGCTCGCCAGAGAGACAGAAAGCGAGCCACCCAGAAGGGATGGCCACGCTGCAATCCCTTCTCCTCCATTTTCCTCTTGGGATTTTGGGCATGCATGCACATGGAATGAGTTTTAAGCTGCTGAGTCCAGGACTCGAACATCAGATGACTAAATGGGAGTCCAGTGCTGTAACCATTGATCTCAAAGTGTCTGAAAATTTTAAAACCACCAAGACACATGGCCTGCTAACTCTCAGCAACCTCTGTGGTCATAGCTAAAGAGAAGAAAAGCAGGGTTTTCACAGAGATAAATTCAGATATCCCACTGAAATGAATACAGATTTTCATTAAAAATGATCACAGTCGGGACCAGCAGTTGGTGTAATGGCTAAGTCACTGGACTCCCATGTGGTCGACCACAGTTCGAGTCCCGGACCCGGTAGCTTAAACTCACGCCGGGTGCGTGTACATATGTGCGCAAGATCCTGAGAGGAGAATGGAGGAGAAGTGACTGCGCGTGGCCATCCTCCCCAGGGATTGAGTTCTCACTTTCTGTCTCTCTTTCTTTCTGGCAAGTGCACGTGCCCTATAGCAAAAACCTCTCAAAAATAAATAAATAAATAAATAAGATCACAGGGCAGGGACCAGCAGATGGCGTGGTGGTTAAGGTGCTAGACTCCCATATGGACAACTGCAGTTCAAGTCCCAAACCTGGTAGCTTGCTTTCTCACTTTTTCTATCTCTTATCTCTCTTGTGAGCATGCAAGCCCAATAGTAAATTTTTTAAAAACAATAAATAAAATGAAATAAATCTATCTTTTTTAAGAGTTTTTTTTTTTTTTTTTCCCTTTGCCTTAGGGTGCATGTGTTCTCCGGAGAGAGAGACAGAAACAGTGAGAGGGAAAGTGAAAAATCCTCAAGAAAGGCAGGATCTCCTCTTCACCAAAATCCTACCCTCTGCCCTGCAACAGTGACCTGTTTCTGTCTCAGGACCCTTGCCACCCCCTTGCCACGATCTAAGAGCCTGCACTCTCAGAGTGGGCACAGAGACAGGGCCGTTGGCACTCCCCAACCCACACGTATGAGCTCCAAGTCCTCTGCGGGTAAGGCCACATCCCCTCTTGATATGGCTGCAGTCCCAGGCCTCCATATCAGTGTGTTCATAGAACAGAGACTGGTCTCTCACCCTGTCTGGCCACTCCTCCCTCACCCCCTCGCCATTACCTTCCCCATCCGGCTGAGGGATGCTCTGGAACAGACAGTGTTGCTCTCGAATGAACTGCCCGGTCAGCTTGATGTCCACATCTACCTGGCCAACCCTGGGGAAGCAATGGCCAACGTGCCCTGAGCGCAGGCCAGACATTTGCCAAGCCCCTCCTAAATGAGTTCACCCACCTCCACGGGCCGAGCATAGTTATTCCCATCTCGCAGATGAGAAAGCTGAGGCTCAGGGAGCTGAAGTAACTTGACAAGCTCATGCAGCTGGGCAGTGGTAGGGCTGGGTTATGAGCCCAGGTCTGCCTAACTCCAAAGTCCGTGTTTAGTCACCCTGTTGTGCTCAAAGGGGAAAAGTGCCCATAGCGATAGGCACCCTCAGCCATGGGCCTCCCCTCCCACACATCCCAGGGCTGATCACCCTGAGGGCTCACTCCCTACCCACAGCAATCATCAAAGACAACCACAAACTCCTTTCGTAGGAGGAGAAGGGGCACTCCCACCCCTTTAACTACAGGAGACACCAAGCCCCAGGGCTTTGTAAGATCAGCCAGGGAAGTCACCTGCCCTCACCCAAAGCCTGCCATGGGGTGGCCCCAACAATGTGGTGCCATGGCCACACTGTCCTCCTCCTTCCCCAGGGAGGTCCATGGCAATAGCACTAGAGGCTAAGAATGCAGTGGTCAAAGCTTCCTACCCACTCTTCTGCCTAGTAAATCAGAAGCCATCCCCACAAGTGCTGGATGGGTTTGGTCCCACCAGGTATGTCTTGCCCTAATCAAATTGGTGGGTGGAAGCAGACAGCCATGAGCAGCAGGCAGGCTCAGCAACTGTTCAAAAGCCAGGGAACAATTAGGGCTGTCCAGAGATGAGAGGTCCCACTAGTGACCACCAGACAGGGAGCGGCCAATGTGGCAGTTCCTCTGCAGCCACACCCCTCAAGGAGCCATCCCTCTGGCTGCTGGCTACACGCTACCTGGTGATGCCGTCTTTGATGTGGTACAGCAGACATTCGGACATCAAGGGGTCTTCGTTCAGGTTCACCAGGTGGGGAGTCTGAGGAGGAAGAAGGGAAGGTGAGGGGAAGCCTCCCGAGAGCCAACCAGGGGTGTGGTGGAGGCAGAGAGGGCAGGAGCGTGGGCAGACACGCCTGCCGCCCCACTCTCGGAGCATGCCCACCCTCCTTGCAGCCGGCAGCCCCACTTCTCACACCGACAGCATTCCCCTTATATGAGGGCCACCACCCATCCACTCCCTCCCAGGTCTGCAACCCTTCCCAAGGCCCCATCTCTTCAGAGGCACCTTGTGCCAACAGGCTCCCTGAGATTCTGCACTCTCCCTCCATGTTCCCTCTGTCCCTGGGTGCCACCATTTCTTCCCTCAGAGTGTATCTTGCAACTTCCAGAGAGTAAGGGAGGAGACTGAGTGAGGGGGCTGGTACCTCCCACCTTTCATTACACCTTACATTTCCGGTGAGCACAGATTACTCATATAATTACAACTTGAAAATAAGAACCGTCACTTCAATTTAAAAGCAAATGAAACAAAGTCTGTTTCTCACACCCGACTTCGACTTTTTCCTGTCTACTGCCCCCTCTGGGCGTTGGACTTAGGCCAGAGTCACTGCAGCACTGACACAGAGCAGACCCTGCCCAAAGCCCCCTGTGGGCTGGCTATGAATACCCACCCCCCTGCACTGAAAACCCCACCTAGGCCTCCCCACAACAGCTTTATCCTGACTGTTTTCTGTTCTGACACCCTGTCCTCCCCAGGCATGAAGCTCTGGATAGTACACAACCCTTGTTCCCTTCATCTCCCTCAAGCTGTTGGCTGCCACTGCCCCCATCTGTCCAGTCCACCTCCTTGCACTACTCCAGCTCAGACCTGACTGATTTCTGGACATCTCCACAGATCTCCCAGCTTCCTGCCATACCACACTGTGGCCACATCACTGCTTCCCCTGCTCCCCGGAGACTTCTCCATTACTGCCTGCCTTGCCCAGTGCTTTTTTTTTTTTTTAAGGTTTTTGCTATAGGGCGCACATACTCACTGGAGAGGGACAGAGTCAGAGAGAGAAAGTGAGAAATCACCTCCCAGGGAAGATGGCCATACAGCAATCCTTTCTCCTCCATTCTCCTCTCAGGATTCTGGGCATGCATGTGCCCATATCCAGCATGATTTTTAAGCCACCAGGTCTGAGACGTGGACCGTGGTCAGTCATGTGCAAGTCCAGCTCCTTAACTACCACGCCACCACCTGCTGGCCTGCCCCTGCTTTTTACCTGATATCCCCGGGTCTCCTCCAAGTCAGGGCCTCAGCCTACCCACTCAGGCCCCTTTTGTGGGCCCCTCTCCTGCTCTTTGCTCCTGCCCAGCAGGACGGAGAGCACTCGCTCCAGAAGAGACCTCCTATGTCCCTGACTGCCTGGGGCTGAGCTGGTCCTCAGCCTGGTACAGCCTCCCTCCCTGCCCCACCCCCAGCCCACTTGTCAAAATCACTCACTTCTTCACATCCCTCAGTCTATCCCTCAGTTTGTCCTGAGTGCCACTTACTCCATGAAGCTTTCCTAAGACTTCTAATTGAACTCCTGCCTCTGCCCTCCAAGAACTTTACTGTGGGTTTTCTATGCATGAGACCGGAGAGAGGTGCTGGGCAGGACACAGAGGTGAGCCAAACTCAGACACTGATGCTGTCAGTCAGGAAGCCATTGTCAACTCAGGGAAGTAAGACGGTGTGGAAGGACCAGCAGATGGCCTAACAGTTACGTCACGAGACTCCCACCAGACCCTGTGGCTTAGAACTCAGGCCAGGCACATGTGCATGGGTATCCAAGATACCAGGAGGAGAATGGAGGAGAAGGGATTGTGGCATGGCCATCCCCCTTGGGGCGTGATTTCTCATTTTCTGTCTCTATGGCGAGCGCACACTCCTTATAGCAAAAGTATCTCTACAAACAAACAACAACAACAAAACCCTGGTGTGGAAACATCAACACAAGTGGGGAACGAGTATCTCATGGGGAGTTTCTAATCTTCTCATACCCTGGCTTAGATCACTGTCCGTTCATTTGTCCGAGGAAGTCACTGAATTCTGGGAAGAACTCACATGTAGGAGGAACAGTGTGAAGAACTGTGAGGCAGGGGGCAACCAGGAGGACTCTGGGAAAGGCACCATGGGCTCTGGTTTTAGAGGATAAGAGGGCATGGACATATAGAAGGAAGAGCCTCCTAGGTGAGAGGAGGTCTAGGGGAGAGCACAGGGTGTAGGGGAGAACAGCCAGCGGAGGCCTGAATCTCTCTGGGACCTGCCCCTGAACAGGTGGAACCCAAGGCTGTGCCCAGTATGGATACAATGTGCATCCCTGTGTCTAACACTCCACCAGGCACCCCAACAACTGCTGTTGCAACAGTGCTCCCAAGGGACACTCAATGTCCCCTCCCTGCGCTGCAATGTCAGGTCTGTTCTGGGACTGACAAACACTGATGGGCTCCAGGAGCAGAAAGTGATCTGTCCCTGGGGAGAGGGGACATGATTTGGGGCAGTGCCTTTCGATTTCTGTTCAGTCCTGGAATTCTTTGTTCAAATGAAACCTTATCTAGAAGCCCAGGATGCCAAGCAGATAAGCAGGGAGCCACTCTGGCCCAGACAGGGGGTGGGGAACCCAGAGCCTGGTCCTCTTCTCCCTGCCCCCAACTCGGCCTCTGAGAGGAAGCTCAGAGCCAGGTTTGAGAGTCCTTAGGCCTGGTACTGGAGGTCCTGGCAAGAAGGTCTAAGAAAAACTTCATCCTGGGACCCAATTCCCCTTCTGACTGTGCCGAGGATGGAGTTGTCCCCAACAACCCTCTTTATGCTGTGATTCTAACAGTTCTCTCTGCTGAAAGATATGTGTTTTTTCACCCCCGAGGGGATGGCAACACTGCAATCCCTTCTCCTCCAATCTCCTCTCGGGATCTTGGGCATGCACGCACATGTACCTGGTATGAGTTCAAGCCATCAGGTACAGGACTCGAACCGTGGTCAACTACATGGGAGTCCAGCGACATAGCCATTATGTCATCTACTCGTCCCAAGACACATACCTTTTAAACTATGAGAATAGGTCCATCCTTACCACCTTGAAGAAAATGCAAGGGTGGGGACCAGCAGTTAACGTAATGGCTATGTCGCTGGACTCCCATGTAGTCGACCGCAGTTCATGTCCCGGACCCAGTGGCTTAAAACTCACGTCGGGCACGTGTGCATGCGTGCCCAAGATCCCGAGAGGAGAATGGAGGAGAAGGGATTGCAACATGGCCATCCCCCCTGGGGGGTGATTTCTCGCTTTCTGTCTCTCTGTCTCTCTCTGTCTGGCGAGCACACGCGCTCTATAGCAAAAACCTCTCCAAAAAAAAAAAAAAAAGAAAATGCAAGAGTGGACTACTCTAAGATACCTTTTTATGTTGTTTTAAATTTGCCAGAGGGTGAATGTGCTCACCACCGACAGAAAGACAGAGAGATAGAGAAAGGAAGAAAATACCCTTCTCACAGGGTATAGGCACATAGCAATCCCTTCTTCACTTCCTCCTTTCAGGATTTGGGGCAGGCACACACATGCACCTGGTATGTTTTTCAAGCCACCACAGCCAGAATTTGAACCACATGAGTCGTCCATTTGGGATTTGGCTGCCTCAACCACAGAGCTGGCCCTCTATCACACCAATTTTACTGAACACATTGGCAAAGATCAAAAAGTCTGATAATGATAAAGCCAGGATATTGCAAAGGGTAAGGAAAATACAACCATTTCAACATCTGCTCTTGTGAGTACAAATTGGCATAGTTATAATCATCAGAGGACACTTCGGTACTACAGAACAAAATTTTAAATGACTACTATTTGACCCGAAATCTCCACTTCCAGGAACCTGTCCTACAGACAACAGGCCTGTTTTTAAGGCTATCCATTTTTTTTTTCTTTTTTTGGAGAGATTTTTGCTACAGGGCATGTGCGCTCACCGGACAGAGAGAGACAGAGAGATAGAAAGTGAGAACTCACCCCCAGGGGAGATGGCCACGCCGCAATCCCTTCTCCTCCATTCTCCTCTTGGGATCTTGGGCACGCACGTACACGTGCCCGGCGTGAGTTTTAAGCCACCGGGTCTGGGACTCGAACCGCGGTTGACTATGTGGGAGTCCAGCAACATAGCCATTACTGCTGGTCCCAAGGTTATCCATTTTATATTGTTTATAATATGGAAAAATGGGAAACAACGTAAAGGTTAATCAGTAAGAAGCTGGTTAAATTATCCTGCATCAGGCTGGCAGGTGGTATGGTGGTTAAAGGCACTGGATTCCCACATTGCAATCACAATTTGAGTCCTGGACCTGGCAGCTTGCTTTCTCACTTTTCTTTTCTCTGTCTATCTGGTCAAGTTGAAAATTAGTAAGAACAAGGATTAGCAGTTGGCATAATGGCTATGTCGCTGGACTCCCATGTAATTGACCACAGTTCGAGTCTGGACCCGGTGGCTTAAACTCATGTGCGTGTGTGCTGAAGATTCTGAGAGGAGGAAACCAGCAGTTAGCATAATGGCTATGTCGCTGGACTCCCACGTAGTCGACCATGGTTCACGTCCTGGACCCAGTGGCTTAAAACCCACGCCGGGCACGTGTGCGCGCGTGCCCAAGAACCCAAGAGGAGAATGGAGGAGAAGGGATTGCGGCGTGACCATCCCCTCTGGGGGGGCGTGATTTCTCGCTTTCTGTCTCTGTCTCTCTCTGTCTGTCTGGCAAGCGCACACGCCCTATAGCGAAAACCTCTCCAAAAAAAAAAACAAAACAAAAAAAAGATCCTGAGAAGAGAATGGAAGAGAAGGGATTGAGGCATGGCCATCCTCCCTGGGTATTGATTTCTCACTTTCTGTCTCTCTGTCTCTCTGTCTTTCTGGAGAGCACATGCGCCCTATAGTAAAAGAAAAAAAAGAAAAAAGAAACTCTCAAAAAAAGAAATGGAATTAAATAAATAAATAATTCTTAAGGAAAAAAATTATCCTGCATCTACACAATGAAATATGCTGATACCATGAAAAAAAGCAAAGTAACCTTTAAAATAAGGTATGTACCCACTGTTATTAAAAAGACAGGCCATCCTATGTGCATATATGTGCAATTACATACATAAAATGCATGCCTGTACAGGTGTAGGCAATCTATGGAAAAACACCTTAGGAACTGATAATAGATAGTATCTGGCTGGGGAACTTGAGGATGAGGAGGAAGGAGGCTTCCTTTCCACATTATACACTATTTACTACCAGGCACACAACACTAATGAGAAGAATGTATTTCTTTTCTTTTTTTTTTTTTTTCACTATGAGACAAAAATATATACATTTTTTTCTTCTATTTTTGGAGACATTTTTGCTATAGGGCATGTGCACTCGCCAAAAAGAGAGACAGAAAGCGAGAAATCACCCCCCCCAGGGGGGATGACCACGTCACAATCCCTTCTCCTCCATTCTCCTCTCGGGATCTTGGGCACGCACGTATACGCACCTGAGTTTAAGGCACCGGGTCCAGAACTCAAACCGCAGTCAATTACATGGGAGTCCAGCGACACAGCCATTATGCCAACTGCTGGTCCCGAGAAAAGAATATATTTTAAGAAAGGCGCCATTGGGCAATACTGTCATTGTGTGAACGTTAGAGTATACTTACACAAACCTTAGGTGGCATGGCCGACTACACGCCTGGGCTGTATAGTATACTGCCTATTCCTCCACAATCACACAGAAGGCCTATCACTACCAAAACATCATTATGTGGTGCACGAAATGTTCTTTTTGATATGTATTACAAGAAAAACTAAAACGAAACGAGAGGGGCCAACAAATGGCATGGTGGTTAAGGTGGCTGGACTTCTACACAGCAGACCAGTTCGAGTCCCACACCCGGCAGCTTGAAATACATACTAAGTGCATGTCCATACATGCCCAAAACCCCAGGAGGAGAATGGAGGAGAACTGATTACAACATGGCCATCCCTCCAGGGGGATATGATTTCTTTTTTCTTTTTAATAAAGAATTATTTTATTATTTATTTATTTATTTTTTTAATTCAACCAGAGAGAGAGAGAGAGAGAAAGTGAGAAAACAAGCCACCAGGTCTGGGACTTGAACCACAGTTGGCCATGTGGGAGTCCGGTGCCCTTAACCACCACATCTGCTGGCCCCAGGGGTATGATTTCTTACTTTCCCTCTTACTGTCTCTCGGGGAGCACATGCCCCATGGCAAAGACTTTAAAAAAATATAAAAAGAAAGAAAGAAACAAGAAACCTCCTCCTAGCTTTAGTACACGGCATCCCTACTACTTCAGGAAAGGAACACCCACGCCATCAGTTTCTGCACCCCCTTCTGCCTTTCTCCCATCCACTGTGGTTGGAAGGGCCTCCAGGTATAGGCACCCACCAAGAAGTGGCTGAAAGCCAAAAAGAGCCCTCTGCAGCCATTCATCCCCCAGATGTGACTAGGTCCCAGAAGGGTCTAACTCCCACAGAAAGACCCGAAAGATCTAGGTACCCAGCCCCAAACCAGGCCCTGAGCCATCCACCCATAGCGCTTACTCCCTCACTGCAGCTTGCACCAGGCAAGGCAAAGCTCTGTCATCTTTTCAGAACGGGGTTCAATGATCCTGCTTGCTGTCTTCCACATGGATCGAACCTTACGAAATAGAGAGAAGCCACATTCCAGTAACCTACCCCCTCCTCCAGGCAGCTTCCATTGTCCAGAGCAACCAGAGCACACTGTACCTGACTTAGGGCCCAATCTTATTCTTTGTACCACGGACCAGACAGGCTTGGCTGGTTCCCCTGTGGACTGGAAGTTCCTGCTCTGCTCAGACGGGCCCCCACATCGTCCCTTCATCGGTATGCACAGGTACAGCCGTATCAGACAACCAGCGCCCTGATTGGTCGGTCCCCTTGCAGCTGTTACTAAATATTTTCTGTCATTCCAGCCTCCAGCTGAGCCTGACCACTCTTGCTCTGCTCTCTTCCTCTCAGCGGAGGTTTACCGGGCACCTGTGACCTAGCAGGCACGTCAAGCACAGGCATGTCCCGCTCGCCTCGCACAGACCGAGTCTGTTTAGCCTCTTGCTGTCCCTATTCCTCTCTACCCACTGAGCCCTGTTCATCACTCAGGCTCCACTTCCCATGCCACTTTCTTCAGGCCACACCGATGATCTACAACCAACCTGCGCTGCACTTACAATTGTCGCCACAGCACTCCTCCTCTAATGCCTTTGCAGGCTTGTCTCCCCTAGTTTTCCTTTTAAAGGGTATATTTTTTTGAATAGGTAACATAAAAAATGGAAATGAGACAAAAGCACGTACTGTGACTAAATCTCTAGCCAACCAACCTCCAATTTCCCAGTTTTCCCTCTCCTGAGAAAAAAACCACTATAACCAGTTTCTTTATAAATCCAGATAAATTCCACACATGAACTCACATACACGGGTGTGTGTTAGAGAGATTAGACTCTAAGGAGCTCTTATAATCCCCTAAGGGCAGAGATCCTGCCGTCCTCCCATGGTCCCTGGAGTCCTAGGCCACAGGCACTTAAAGAGCACTGGACTCAGGCTGACTGTCAGAGGGAGGGCGGGACAAAGCAGGGATGACTGGACAACACAGAGGAGGTGATAACGGAGGGGACAACGACGATGCCGGACAAGTCAGAGACTTCAGAAGGAGAGACTAGGGTTAGAACTCACTACCCCGCCACCTCTAATGCATCTCTAAGCATCTAGAGCTCCCTCGGCATAGAGCTCCCTCGGCGTTCTCCCCGGATCCTTCACTCACCTTCTTTGGAGAGAAGACACCCACAGTTCCTCCGTCCTCCCGGACAGCTACCCCCATCTCAGCCAGCAGTGCTTCTCTGTGGGCAGAGAAGATGTCAGTCGCCACAACCACCTTCCCTGCAGGGCCCAGCTGTCCTCCCCAGCCTCCCACTCCTCTCCTTCCAGACTCTAGCTGTCAGCCCTGATGGAAAACTCGCACCTTTCCATCCTCAAGGCTTCTGTCTTGCGCAGCTTCTCCTCCCAGGTCTCATTCAGCTCAGCTATAATCTTCTCTGTCTCCTGGAGGCACAAGGACAAGCAGAGATCAGGACGGTCCAGCACAAGCACCCACCAAGGGGACCATACTACTTCTGGGATTCTTCCTCCTCTTCAATCCCGGTTTGGAGAAATGACCTCCCATAGGCCACCAGACCTTGCCAGCTCCAGCTTCCCACCTGCAGCCTCTCCATGGCCTCTTCAGGCCCAATCTGGGGCTCAGCACTGGGAGAGAATGATGGCTCCAGCTCCCCATTATGTGCTGGGGGAGATGAAGGTGAAGCTGGGGCAGGGGGAAATGACACGGCTGGCAGAGCACCTTTTGGACTCCCCTCTTCCACCTTCAGGCCTGGGAGGGAGAAAGAGGCAAAAGAACAAAGCTAAGGAAAAATGGAGAAGCCAGGAACTTGGCAAAGGACCCATCTATAAGAACATCAATAGATATCTGATCAATCCCCAACAGGCAAGGAGCCCTCCTAAACAGTCTGACCCATTTCCTCCGTTTCCACTTGTACCCACAAATGGAGCACTCATAATTAAATGAGGCGGCAAGTTCTTTCCACCATTATTTGTCTTGCACTGTCAGAAAATTCTTAGCTTTCTTGGAGCCAGTGTGCGGTGGCCAAGGGGCCTCCCTGAGCTGCCCCTTCCCAGAAATTCTACCTCCCAGAGCAGAGGCTGAGAGCCCCTGAGCCATCAGCAGTTCCCGTAGCCGGGCCACCTCCTCCTGCAGCTCTCTGATCAGCCGGGCATTAGGGTCCTCGTTGATGACAGCATTGCAGCGGATCTGCTTGGTGCGATCGGCATACCTGGGGAGGAGAGAAGACTGGGACTGTTGAGGCCCACGCATAGGGGCCCTTGATCTGCTGCTGCCCATTTTTCTCTCTTCCTCCCTGGTCTCCAGATATCATGACGGGGAAACAGTAGACAGCGTAATGATTACATCGCTGGATTCCCACATAGTAGACCACAGTTCGAGTCCTGGACCCGGTGGCTTAAGACTCACACTGGGAGGGTACCAGCAGGTGGTGTGGTGGTTAAGGCGCTGGATACTCCCACATGGTCAACCATGGTTCAAGTCCTGGACCTGGCGGCTTGCTTTTTCACTTTCTCTATCTCTCACTCTCTCTTTCTCTGGTCAAATTAAGATAAATGAATGAATAAATAAAATTAAGTAATTCTTTAACAACAACAACAACAAAAAACTCACACTGGGCACATGTGCCCAAAATCCTGAGAGGAGAATGGAGGAGAAGAGACTGTGGTGTGGTCATCCCCCCCCAGGGAGGTGATTTCTCACTTTCTGTCTCTCTTTCTCTCTGGCGAGCACATGTGCCCTATAGCAAAAATCTCTTTCTCTAAAAAAAAAAAAAAAAAAGAAAGAAAGACATAATGACAGGGCTGGAGGTCTACCCTATCTCATAGGCAGGACCCTAGTAACCAAACTCTGAGCTCCTGGCACTTTTTTTTTTTTTTTTTTCCAGTTTTGCAACAGGGCCCAATTGCTCTCCAAAGAGAAATAGAGACAGAGACAAGAGGGGAAAGTATGAGGATGGGGTGGCCACACCACAATCCCTTCACTATTTTCCAACTAGGATTCTAGGCACGCATGCACATGTGCCTGGTGTGTTTTTCAAGCCACCAGGTCCAAACCAGTCAGCCACTGGGGATCCAGCCTCCCTAACCACCATGACACTGGCTGGCCCCACTCCTGGCATACTCTGTATGCTGCCCATCCCTGACAGAGCTGGAAGTCCCACCTGAGGGTGCTGAGAGTCTCCTCATAATTGATGTCAGCAGGGCTCAGGGCTGCAATCATTGCTGTGCGTGAGTTCCCACCTGTGAATGGAGAGGATAAAGCTTTAGCTGAGCTGGATCCTAAGAAAAGACAGACTGGCACATGGGGTCAGGGGAGCCTCAGGGCCCTGCAGGAATCTGACATAGTTGCGATCTAGGGAGAGTGAAGCTAAGAACTATGAGACTAACCATGAAATCTGGTGGATGGGAAGGGAAAGGCAAAGGTCAGGGAGAGATCAGGTATCTGTGGGACAGACACAGTCAATGGGAGGGAGATGAGGTCAGCAGTGGGTGTGAGATGAGGTCAGCAGTGGGTGTGAGATCAGGGAGAGGTCATAGGTGTCGGGTCAGTGAGGCCCTTGGTTTGGCAGGGAGGGTGTAGCCATTTTTTCAACATTAGGAAATCGTCAAAGGATTGTTCTCTGGGTCAGGAAGAGAGTCAATGGGACAATGGGGATTTGGGATTTTAAGAGTGACAAGAAGATTTGTCAGACATATCAGAGGTAGTTAGTGGGGTGATGGCAGAGTCAGAAAAGAGAAAGGAAAGCTCCTCACCCAAATTCTCCTTGAGCAGCCAGGTGAGCACAGAGTCTCTGTAAGGGATAAAATCTGACTTCCGCTTCTTTGATTGCTAGGGGATAGAAGAGGTATGGAAGTTAGAGTGGGTCACTCCCTTCCCCTCCTTTCCTGAGCCCCTTCTCTTCCCAACCCCAGGTCTCACCATATCCGCAAGGGCTGAGATCACCTTCCCTAGAGTAGTCAGAGACTTATTGATATTGGCACCTTCCTGGAAAGGGATGAGGAATGTGGGGATGAGACCCTCCTCTTCTGATCAATTTATTTCCCTTCTTCCTCTCCCCAACCAGAGACGCAGGTTAGAATCAGCAATTCTATGTGCAGCCCCCAGCACTGTCACCCTTCTGACCCTTTAAAGTCCCCTCACCTTTAGACGCATGCCCCGGGCCCCTGAGGAATCGGCCCGCTCACTCCCAGCAAGGTCCACCAAACTGATCTTACTGACCTGGGTTCAGAGAAAGAGGCAGGAGGTGATGGGACCAGCAAATCAGGGAGTACCTGGCAGGAACTGGGGTGATTATCAAGGGCTAGAGAAAGCCAAGAGGGGTGGGAACCAGCAGTTAGCATAATGGCTATGTCACTGGACTCCCACGTAGTCGACTGCGGTTCGTGTCCCGGACCTGGTGGCTTAAAACTCACGCTGGGTGCATGTGCGTGCGTGCCCAAAATCCCGAGAGGAGAATGGAGGAGAACGGATTGCGGCGTGACCATCCCCCTTGGGGGGTGATTTCTCGCTTTCTGTCTCTCTCTGTCTGGCGAGCGCACGCATCCTATAGCAAAAACCTCTCCAAAAGAAAAAAAAAATAGAGAAAGCCAGGAGGGGACAAGAGAAGGCAGGAGGAAGTAAAATAAATCAAGACAGTAATGAGGAGTTGGGTACTCATTCATTTCTTCATCTGTAAACAGTTATAGGACCACTGTGTGCCAGGACAGAGGACAGTGTGGGGTTAAACTCTGGCCCCGAGAACACTAAGGACAAACACTAAGCACACAGAGATTATAGCACACTGACCTGATGGAGAAGCACAGGGAGCCATGGCATGGACCCAAGCCCCTTCTATCACATCACAGTCCCTGTTACGGAGAGTAGGGGAGGAGGTCTCACCTTCTCTGAGTCCAGCCCCGTGAGCTGGTCATGGCAGCGCTGAGTGAAAACAATGGTGAAGACGGCATGGGATCGGCTGCTGGTCTCGTTCATGTTGGTGGCGGCCACAGTCCTGGTAAAAAAAGGGAGCAGTCACTGGGTCCTGCCCATCACCTTCCCCACGTGGGCTCCCTTCCCCTCCACTGTCAGCCTGCCTCACCGCGCCTTATTCCCACAGTCCATGAGGTCGGCAATGTCTGCATAGGAGGTCACGGCCAATTTAGACAGGTCCTGTACGTAGGGGCCCAGGATGGGGTGCTCCCGGACCCGCAGAGAGCCCCGACTCTTGGGGTTCAATAGGTCTCGTACCCGCTCACAATAGATCTCCATATAGCTCACCTAAGGAGCAAATGAGAAGTAACAAAGCTAGAAGAATTAACAAAATTTAACCTGAACTCCACCAGACCAAACAGAGTTAACTGCAGCTCATGTACACCAGGCATGGTGCTAAACACCTCACATGTGCTGGCTCACTGATCTTTCCAACAACCCTAGGAGATGGGTCTGAACATTGGCACAGAGCTGCGTGCAGGAGCTGAGGGATGGAATCATTTGCCCAAGGTCACAGTTAGTAACTGGCAGAGTCAGGATTAGATTCCAATTGTCTGACTGCAGAGACACCCTCAGTGACTTTTTTCTTTAGATTTTTGCCATAGGGTACATGCAGTCATCAGACAGAAAGAGAGAGTGAGCAAGTACCCCAGGGGGGCCACACCAAAATCCCTTCTCCTTCATTCTCCCCTGGGGATTTTGGGCATGCATGCACACGCACCCAGCATCCTTTTCAAGTCACCAGGTCCAGGACTCAAATTGTGGACGTGGCTATTTGGGATCTAACACCTTAACTACCATGCCACCTCCTGGCACAACTGCCCTCAGTCTTAATCCCACGACTCTCCTGCCTCCCTTCCCAGGGATACAGATTCCTCCCTACCACCTGCCATCAAGACCAGGGCTTACCTCTACAGAATAGGATAGCTGAGTACTCTGGTTCTCATTAACACGAGAGAAGAGGTCCTCACAGAGCTGCAGGAGGACACGGAGAAGCACAGAGAAGCTCTTGTTCACAATGCAGCCACAGTACCCTGCCCTAAGCAAGGCCTCATCCTAAGGGACTCCACTGAACTGATTTTTGTACAGTTAATATCCTGCCCATGGTACACAAGCTTGTAGGGGAACAACACTCACAGATAAAGTTAAAACAAAGTAAAAGAGTAATAAGTGGTAAAACCAAGGCTCAAACTCAAGGCTCTCTAATTGTCAAAGCCTTAGCTCTTTTCACTCTTGTCGTCTTTGGTCAGGGAAAAGAGCTGGTGTGCAGGCTGCAGCCAAACCCCTATCTCCGATTACATCCCCTGACGCTAATGGCCTTGGAGGGCCAGCTCTTTGCACCATAGTCTTTAGACTTCTGCCCTTCTTCCCCTGGGGGACAGGTAAAGATGCTCCTGCCCTGGTCGCCTGGCCAGTCCTGGGCGTGTACCTGGGGCACTATCCCTTGCTGCCCTGGCTCTTGCCGCCCCATCATGGTGTAGGATTTCCCAGCCCCGGTCTGCCCGTAGGCAAAGATGCACACGTTGTAGCCTTCAAAGGCGTGGAGCAGCATCTCTTCCCCAATGTCCCGGTACACCTGCTGCTGAGACGCAAACTGGGGGTCCTCGGCCTGGGTGAGAGGGAGCACAGAAAGACAGGAGCCCTGCTGACTTTGTCCTTGGTGTCCAAGTCCTAATAGTCTTGTCCCCATTGCTGATGACTGCCCCGAGGTCCTATGCGTTCCCCACTCCCACCCCCATCACTGTCCTGATTATCCATAGGGATTCTGCCTCTCCCACTGTGGTCTCAGTCACAACCTAAGGGTCCTACCCGCCCCCAGTCAGGGACCACAGTTTTCCCAATCTAGTCCTGAACAATCTCCTGGAGGTTCTATTTCCCAAGAAATTCCCCTCCCCAAGACCTAAATCCCCTGTCCTTCATTGCTAGGCCCTTCCCCCAGCTCAACAACCTCACCGAAGTGTGTGACCAGTAGGAGTAGTCGAAGGTGAAGCTTTTGGGGGCATCCTTGCTTTGTTTAGGGTTGATGATGGCTGAGGGGGCAGGAGAGCGAAAAAGAAGGAAAGCCAAGGTCAGCTCTCCCAACCTCTGCCCTCTCCCTCACAAGCCCATGGAATCCAGGCATCCCACTCCCCACCTCTGTAGTATCTCCTCTCTCCCCTTTAATACTCCCCACCCCCTCCAGTCACCAAAGCTAATTTTGGCTTTCTAGGACCCGCCCCCACGGAGCTGCCTCCCTGGATTGGGCAATGGAGGGCTCCTGGCCAACATTCCCCCTCCCAGGGACTGGGAACACAGAAAGGCCAGCCTGCCCCAGCCCCCGCCCTTACAAGTAGCACCTGCTCTGTGCCCAGCACAGCCCTCCTCCCGGTTCGGCACAGTAGGACTGGCCCTGCCTGTGCCCAGCCAGCAGGCCCCTGGGACGCACTCACAGGTGGTGTTGCCCTGCATGCTGACCACACACTTGGCATCGTGGCTGGTCTCACGGGCGTTGAAGGGCCGAACCCTCACTGCTACTTTCACTGAGGCACCAGCCATGACTCCAGATACTCCTGCCCTCCTCAGCTGGAGGAGAAAAAGGAGTGGTCAGAGTCACTGGGGGGAACCCAGACAGTTTCTCCACAGAACCAATCTTTCCTCTTGACCCTCTCCCCAACTACCCAGACCCTCAAAGACCCACCTCCTGTTCCCCTCCCTGGTCTTCCTCCCAAATGTAACTGTCTTGAGAGACTCCCAAAGATACCCCTGCTTTTCTCCCAACCACACCCCAGCTCCTAGGGACACAGGCCATCACCCGAGAGTTACCTGGTGTCCTGGCCCCAGACCAGAGGCACTCTATCAGTTCTGGCTGCCACCGGCACTCGTAGGGGAAGCCCCATCCTATACTTGAGGCCTGGCCACGCCAGCTGAGGCTGTAGGGGAAACCCTAGTTGTAGGGGAAGAGTGGTTAGGAGGCACCTGTGGCTCCAGAAGTCTGTCTAAGGTTTTGAGGTCAGGACCAAGTTGTAGGGGAGAATGTCAGGAAAGGTAAGGCAGGCCGCCCCTCTGGAGTGGCCGAAGCAATGTGAATCCAAGGACAGGGACGGTGATATTTTTATTCCTCGTCACTCACAAGTGTACTGAACGTTCAGACAGAGGAGGGAGAGAGCGAGTGAAGCTGGACAGAGGGCAATTCAGAGAGAGACACATGGGCAGAGACACTGAGGGTGGCAGGAAGGGAGTGAAGGGAAGAGAAGGGCAGAAAGTCAGACACCAAGAAAAAGAGATAAATGAGACAAAAGGCAAGATTGAGGTCATCCTATGAAAGAAAGAATGGGAGGAGAAAAGCAAGGAGAGACACAGAAGACACCAAACACAGAGATGTTACGCAGGTAGGGATGGGGGCTCTGGGGCCAAAACACAGACTGAGAGCCTAGAAGAGAGATGAGAGAAAAGAAAACCCCAAACACAAAACCTGCCCTAAAATTGCCCTACAGGGTCAGTAAGGGAGACCAGTTCCCACCTAGAGGCCTCGACCTCAGTCCTCGCCTGAGGCAGGGACTGCCGATGGGCAAAGTCCAAGGGCTGGAGGTACAGCCCTGCACAGGGATCCACTGGGCCTGCTTTGAGGGCCCCCAACCCCTTGCCCAGCCCTCAGCACTTCCTCCTCAGGATCCAGGACAATGGGCAGGGGAGGGTGGGGTCATCCTGTATCCAACACACCAACCCCTAGGGCTCCACTTGGAAGACCCAGAATACCTGTATCTTTGAGGGGGTGGGTGGAGCACACCAGGGACCTTTTTGAAAAGGGAGAGAAGGGAAAGGAAACAGGCTAGTCCCAGCCCCACCCTGGGGCTAATGCTATGGCGTCCACCACCCAGGAGAAGGTGCCAGGCTGGAGCCCAGGAATGTGGGTGATCAGGTGCCCACACCCTAGGAGGAGAGGCTGAGTAGCCCACACCCACAGACAGTAGGGTGGAGGACTAGGAAGGGGGATCGGGGATGCTAGGCCCCCTTCTGCGGCTCCAAAGGACCCCAAACTCCAGTCCTACTGAGCCTCTCCCCATCAGCCTCCCTGAGCAGAGCACGGTGTGGTGAGGAAGTTGGTCTATCCCAGGACAGGAAGGGAGTAGCTGAAACCACAGAGGCTGGCTCAGGAAGAGCAACCCTGACCCCCTAGACCCTGACCAGGGGAGGGAAGGACACTGATGGGGACACGCAGCAGTGACGCCGTGAAGGCTAATGGGACAGAGAATGCAGTGGCAAGGCTGGGGATACAAAACAGGGGGCAGAGAGGAGGTCTGCCGGTGCAGCCCAAAGAAGCAGCCGCGAGGAGCCGGGGCTGGGGTGGGACACACCGACCAGAAAGGGGGCTTCAAGCCACCTGCACCTCGCCCAACCAGCAGTTCTCAAACGCCCCCCCCCGCCCCAGGCCCTTCTGCGCGGCCATGCGGACAGCACATGATTCCGGCTCCCGCACCCAGCCGCCCCCACCGGGTGGCGCAAACAGGACCCCAGCTCCCCACCCCTAGCCGGGCACATTCCTCCGCGGGCGTCTCCTCCCTGCCCCCCCAACTCTCACCTCGTCACGGCGAGGCTCCCGGAGCAGCTCGGCTGAGTGCAAAGGGACAAAGTTGCCGGGAAGTGCAAGACGGGAGCGGGTTAGTCCTGGGGCCGGTTCGGGGCTGCCCCCGCCCCTC